CCTTGTAAGCTGATTTTCGAGACATTTTTATGCAGAAAAAAAAAAAGGAGAAAAAAGCTGGCAAAAATAGTTTTATAAAATTTGTAGACCTGCATGTAATTTCATTAATGATTTGTGTTAATGTAAGCTAAGTATTATTACCTTCAAAAGCCTCACAATTTCCCCAAGGTTTTTCACCAGTCTCACAATGATCATTAATCGTAAATTGATCTTGCACAACGATCTAGTCCTACTGATGTCACAAAGTCTCACAATTACCACAATTTTTAAATTGATATCACACAATTTGTTGATGTCAGTCTCACAATGATCATAAATCTTAAATTGATCTCACACAATTAGTCCTACTCATGTCACAAAGACTCAAAATGATCACAAATCTTAAATTAATCCACAATTAGTTCATGTTGCACAGTCTCACAACTGTCTCTTATACACATCTAGATGTGTATAAGAGACAGGTTATATACCGTACCGGTACCTTACTACCGTGTAAATTACACTAACATATAGACTCACTATAAGGCTATCCCCAGCAAACTCATAGGTCTATTGTACATGGATGGGTGGTATGCTTACGACATTCGCTTAAAATCGAATTTGTTTTGAATCCTAGGGGGAAAAAAGCGGTACCGTAGCTTGTGCCTCTCGTTGACATTTTTTTTTTCTCACTAGTTCTATCTAGCACGGTATCACATTTCGTAAACATCCTTTTTTATTATAACTTATGACCCATTCCATCATTCTTCAACCGGATTTGCGCTTACAAGATCAATTGCAGACCTGATTGATTCTTACAAAAATAACAAGTCCGACGTCATTTATTAACCAATCAAATTGATTTTTACATATGTCGTAGGTAATAAATAAAGCTACATGTTTCCACAACAATGCCGAAAATCGGCCCAATATCAGCGGAGCTACTACAAAAAAAACTTCGGGCGATTCACCACATTTCTGCTAAAACCGTAGGTTTTACACGGAAAAAATTGAAAAACCACGGTTACAAAATTAAAAAGTCCAACGAGATTTGGAAATCTTATGGATTAAAATTAAGATTACTAAAACTGTTATTAAATTTGGAATAAAATAAATGAACAATGGCGAAAATCGGACAAGTAGAAGTAAAGTTATGAAGAGAAATGTGCGAAAAAATAGCGAAAACAGCTGAAAATCGAACGTTTCGAATTAAATTAAATGAATTTGCGACGATCAAACTTATCCTAAAACCAACCAGTCAGCCAACCAACGAACCAACCAACCAACCAACTGCCAACCTATCACCCAAACCAACCAGCCAACCAACCAATCATCCAATCAATCACTCAATCAGCCAACCAACCAGTCCATCAATTTATCATTCAACAAGTAAAATTTATTTTCTTCAAAAAGTAGAGATGATAGTACGGATATTAAAATTAATATTTCGTATAATTTCAGATATAAACTCTCCCGTCACCAACATGATGAATCATGTTTTGGACCTGCACAGTACAGCGCACACTTTGAACAATTAAAGATACAGTTAGATCACTTTAAAAATAGCATCGTTGACGGCTTAACTTATTGCGAACGAGAAAAAATAACTATGCAACTTATGTGTTTACATTTCTGCTGCTGTTTCTACCGTTACTGCAAGTCCCCTGATGAATTTATTGATGAAGACACCCTTGGATCGGAAGATCCACTGATTAATATCATGTAGATAGTATACTCCAAGTATCGAAATGCACGCAGGCGTGTCAGGATTCAATATTTCGACATTAATTATGTCATCACCAGGAACCGTTGCTGAACTGAAAAAAATATACCGTATAGGCCTACCGTACCTCATTATCATTTTTCTGAATTCTAAGCGGTTTTACATGTTCAGTGAGAAGCGTATTTGCTGTAGAGTCCTTACCAAAGAAGACTTGGTTACCGATTAACCGAACCATGAAGGATGAGAGTGTACAACCAGTCAATAGTGCTCGAACACTCTTGTCTCCGTAGCGTCTTTTTTGTTTATATTATTTTCCAGTTTGCGCCCATCTCCAAATTGTTTCCGTTCGTCGATCATCATGGAGGACAAGAGTCCGCGTTTCTACACATACAGTATTTCAGTATACGGGGTGCCGTTTGGAACGTTCACCATTTTACTATTTTGTTAGATACTGTATAACATCAATTCGTCAATAATTAAAGTGTGTATGTACATGTATGTATATATTCTATAATAATAGAAAGTATATTTAGAAACCCTAATTTAATTTGTATTTATGTTTTATTATGATAAAATTGCCGGGGCCTCTTTATAGAATAAAAGCCTTCGAGCACAGAAATAACATTAATTGGATACTGTATAACATTTAAACGATTCAAGGAATATAATAAGATAGAATTAAATTTAAAAAAAAAAGAGGAAAGAGTAACATTCTTCAAAAAAGAAAGGGCAGGGGACCAAGCCCAAAATATAACAGTTTGTAAATACCGTATACTCTACTATCTAAATAATTAAACAAAATACACTTCATACTATCAGATTAAAACAAAAATTACTTGTTTGTATTGTGTATTGTGACATAATAATGTTTACGATAATTTACACCAATATGGATTTAACGAAATAGAAGAATATTTACAGCACGAATACTCAGGTTCAAGTCGCATGTGATAAAATATAAACCCAATATTCATAAGAATGTAATTCATTCATTCATTCATTCTTTATTTAGCCAAAAGAAATATACAAAACAATTATCAAACAATAAAGAAAATTAAATTACTTAAGTTGGCTTGGATTAACAATAGTCTTAGTTAAAACACTCTGGCTCTCATGCCTGTTAGTCCGGACTTGGAAATTTGTACAAACATATATTAGACCTATTTACATTTAGAAAAAACTGAAGATACAGTATTAAATTAAGCAAATAATGTAGCATTGGAGGTAAACTAAATACAAAATATAGTTAAATCTGATTTTTATGTATTCTAAAAATTATGCTTATGTTTCTTTATAGTGTTCATTCAATTTGTAACAGAGTAATGCACGTGAAGTAGTAGAGCCACGTAGTATTTTAAAGATATTTCTTTTATTTTACTTTTGATAATGTTAACGTAAATAGTGTTATACACTGGCTTTTGTATCATTGTACTGTAATAGATTATATGGTTCGTTTTATGACAGGATGCAGGAATGCGAATAAGCAGTGTTTAATTGTATCCACCATTAGCGTCTACACAATGCATTCAGATCTTTGTTCCAGAGTTGGCTTTCATTGTCAGACATAGGCCTGATTACTACTTGTTAATCTCATAAATTATTCTCTGCGAAAAGTAGGTCCTTATGTTAGGCCTATTAAATATGTGGTAGAATAATATCCTAATAAAGCAAGGTTGATAAACCCAGATTAAGGATTAAGATGCCACGGCATTCGACGTATTGTGGAGAAGAAAAGCAGCAGGTAGTTATCAACCAAATCATAGACAAGTAGCCTATAGTACTAGACCCAGGCCTACTTCAGTACCATTAAAGTGTATCTGTCAACAGATTTTTATTGAGGGTTTGTTGCACTTTCCAATATCAGGATAAAATATATGTTATCTGTTTTTTTTATATATATACATAGTATGAATAGGCAATTAGACTTAGACTACAACTTATAACTCTGGACCAATTGCCTTTGCTGCTTTTGATCTTGTTGTTTTTTCATTATTTGCATCCTGTAGCATTTTGTACTTACCTTCTCTGTGTTTGTAAACATTATGTTATTTCCTGATGATGACTTAGTAAAATCGAAACGTTGGGTTCAATATGGCCTCAATTTCTCTGTTTGGAGTAACTTTGTTTTATTATATTTGAACATATAGTCAACCCTTTGGTTTTATGAATGTGTCTTTATAAAGAAATGATATGTGTTTTGATGAAGTAGTAAATATGCATAACAAATAAGCGTGTGTAATCATAATGTTAATGTTCATTTCTATATCATCAATGTTGTTATTCACCATGTTCATAAGTTTGATCATGATAAAAAAATCACCAAGAAGAAACAGTCAGTTATGTAATATAACTAACAAAATAGAATTAACAATTAAATACACTATTTTGTATTTATTCATTCTAATGTTAAAGGTAAGAATCAAGCATAAAAACACGGAAGTACAAAAAAGAACCCTTTTTGATGTGGTCCCTAAATGTTTGCAATTTTTAAGAGGCTTTTAAGAGGATTGTACAGTCGCGGAGTCTCCCGGAAATCAGGACGGCCTCCTGCACTCCCGAAAACAAGCAAGCATTCCCGGAAATAACCCATCTCCTGCAAAATAATATTTGCATGTTTTGTTTTTTTTTACTATTGTATTATCAACAGTCTCACAAAAGTCAGTACCGATGGGAATCACCTTGCGCACCCTCCAATTCGAGACTCCTCTTATTATGAAATTCTGTAAATACATATTAGGAGTTGGCAACTCAGCACCCAATATTGGTGTTAGAGGAGAACGCGGGAGATACCCATACATGTTGCATGTTCTGTTAACGTTATTAGGTATTGGTTAAGACTGATTTATTGACAGTGAACAATTTATTAGGCAATGCTATGACTTTCAATACAGAAAAACACAAAGAAACGAGCCTTAGATGTAAAAAATCTATTATATGTTCCATTGGTTTTGGAGATATTTGGCATGAACAAAAAGTCAACGATTTCAATAATTTTGTATTTAATCTAAAACAAAGATTAACAGACATTGAGATTCAAAGGTTTTTTGAAGAAATTAGGCAACATTCTAAATTAAAATTGTATTCACAAATTAAACATGAATTCAGAGCAGATGATTATCACAGACATAAACAAAAATCCTTACGTTCGTTACAAAAAGTCGAAGATGAATATGATCATTTTACCTTAGTTTACCCTTTTTATTCAGATATTAGAACGAAATTTGTATTTGCCTGTTACACAGACACTCCGTCTGAATTCAAATTTCTTAATTTAATGTCTACTAAAAATATTGATCTCATTTCAAAGTTATCAAATGCTTATTTTACTCATTTAAACGCAGAAAAGAATATTTAGATGCACTCTAATTTTGTTAATATCATATTTTGTATATTATTTGGGCCAGAGCCTATGTGATTAATAAATGTTCCTTGAACCTGTTTTCAAGGAAGAAGAAGACCCCTCTAATTTGAGACCACTTTTCCAAAGACCCAAATAACACTCTTTAAAATGTTAATACAAAGCTAGCCCTCTAATTGGAGACCAACCCAGAGACCACCCCAAATTTTGAGGACCCAAAGGTGGTCTCGAATTGGAGGCGAACTGTATGTTCTTTTAGAATGTCCAGATCTGCGCCCTTGGCCCCTTATAAATTCACGTCACCTCGTACTCATGCGACTAATATGAAAATTTAAATTTTTAAATTAAAATGTGTATCACGTCTGTCGTATACTAATATGATAGGCCTCACTTAAGCCAGCGCTAAAACTTAAAGATTTAATTATATTATGTAATGAGATATTTAGTGAAGGCATTTGGTGCCCTTAAAAAAAAATTAAGCTACATATGCCACATTTAGGTTACATGTACTTGATCCACTTATTTATTTACCATCAATCAATTACAACAAGCAGTTACTGGGGCCTAATTGATTACCAATATTAACAAAACAATTTAGTTTTGTTATTAAATAGAGAAATGTTTATTTCTTTATTAACAAAACCATATTTGAGTGTACAATTTACGTACTATAAATTACTTCAATTCAAAGCATTTACATAAAGCCTATGATAACAAGAATATTGGCCTCGGTGTATCGACATGTAACAGTGACAAGGATAGGCCTATGTTCTCATTTTTTTTCAAAGCCCTATGACAACACAAATTTTAATCTTTAATTTTGTATGATAGACGATAAAGCTTTTTCTCTGCACGCCACTAGGTCTACATCACCGATTTAAGCATTGATTTAAAGAATTATGTGACCCTCAAAATTATATAGGCCTATTATAGACAAGCCTAACTAAAGTAAATCGTCGCCTACCAAGTTGCTGCTATATACTTGCAGTTCGTTGATGTCTTCGGGGGTCTATCAATATGATCGATAACGATAAACATAATACAGGCCCATGATTTGTTGTATTTCTGCTTAAGACACCTCTCGTCATTTGTCCGAAAAACGTGACGTTAAGGCAGACATTTAATATATTCTGTATTTGCCGCTTGCTGATATGGTGCACAGTAGAAATCGGACATTAATTTTAATTAACATTGCTACTGTATTACAGAGCTATAATAAACTACTGTAGCACGTACTTCTAAAACCATGAAGTACAATGAAACAAAATTCATTAGCATACTGTAGGCCTTTCTTTTGTGCTCATATGGATGGTAATGCGCACAAGACATGTTACCAAACCGGACCGGATTAGATGTCGAATTATTGTTGGCTTAACACCACCTCCTACGATTAGTGCCCAAAATAGTGAGCTGATCATTATTATATAACTTTCCAAATCGTATGCCGCTCCGGATCTCCTTGCTTGTCTTCCTTCTTCCTGTACCTTACTGTACTATAAACAAATAAATTAAAAATAGTAACACTATATTCAATCTTATTACTTTATTTTACTATTCTAACATTACACAATATTTATCTATAATAAGTAATTATTGAAATTTAATTATTAATTCTTCTAATAATTAATTCTTCCATTATAAACATTTCATATTTATGCAGTAGGCCTACTGTATATAAAAGTAATGTACAAACTAATAGGTAAGACTTAATTTAAAAGTGGGGTGTAGTAAACAATATTTTAAATTTATAATATGAACTAAAGTTAAGATTAATTTAATCTTGACATTACTAAAATTCAAATTTTATATAGCTGGAGTTTGTTTTGATCAGGCTATCTAGGCTAATGATATAGGCCTACGCTTTCTCCGTTAAAGGCTTTTTCTGTGAATGGTACCGTTTAGATTTTATCCAATACAGGGAATTTACTCATAAAAACACGGTTATCGGACAGGAGGTTCCGTCCTTTCCATTTTTACGAGTGTTATTACTTTGACATCCATGATGTATTTAAGATCATGGTTTAAATCCTCTATGTTAAGATATTCACCTACAACATAACCGCATTTATTAAACCGCCTTATATCTTAAAACACAGAGCGCCGACGGTCGTCGGCCGACGCGATTCCACGGACAAGGCAAAGCGGCTAACGTAATTAGCGGTGGAAGAAGCAGGGTGGGGGGGGGTCGACACTCTATCTGTGCATCGAACGAAGAAACTGTTTCTTTGCTCTAGGCCTATCATCTGTGCATCCCTCCCTGTATTTCGACTTCCTAGACCCGCCACTGTTGAAGTACCATTTTCCGGCTCCTAGAAGGGTAATATTTATCCGTCGGGGGAAAACATATGGTTTCGTCAGGACGTGATGAATAATTTAATGTGATCGTGGAAGCAATCTCGACTTCAACTTTGTTCGGATTATACAACAATTAGGAAGTCAT